CGACAAAGACATTCCCATCATTTTAGGGAGACCTTTTCTAGCTACTGGTAGAACCTTGATAGATGTACAGAAGGGAGAATTAACCATGAGAGTCCAAGACCAACAAGTGACTTTTAATGTTTTTAATTCCCTTAGGTACCTGGAAGAAAGAGAAGAGTGTTCTGCTTTGAGTCTGATAGAAACCTGGTGTCAAGAGAAAAGTTTTGGGGGAAATTTTAGGTTTATCAGAGACTGATAGTGATGAAGAAGATTTTGAGGAATTAGAAACACCACAAGAATCTGTTGCTTTTGAAGTTTTAGAATCTGAGGATAGGAAGATTCTTGTTCCTTCCTTAGATGTTATCCCAGATTTAGAGTTAAAACAACTTCCCTCACATCTGAAGTATGCCTTTTTAGGAGATTCAGGGAAGTTACCAGTCATCATTTCATCATCATTAGAAGCTGACCAAGAAGAAAAGTTGRTTGACATGTTGAAACTTCATACCAAGGCTATAGGATGGACAATTGCTAACCTCAAGGGGATAAGTCCCACCATTTGTCAACATAAAATTATCTTGGATAACAAAAGTTTCACCTCTGTTGAGCCTCAAAGAAGACTCAATCCTGTTATGAAGGAGGTTGTCAAAAAGGAAATTTTAAAATGGCTTGACGCTGGCATAATTTATCCTATTGCTAGTAGTACCTGTGTCAGTCCTGTGCAATGTGTACCTAAAAAGGGTGGAGTCACTGTTGTACCAAATGAGAAGAATGAACTTATACCTACTAGAACAGTAACTGGTTGGAGGATATGTATGGATTACAGGAGGCTTAATAAAGCCACTCAAAAAGACCATTTTCCATTACCCTTCATACACCAAATGTTAGACAGACTAACAGGAAAAGAGTTTTATTGTTTCTTAGATGGCTACTCCGGTTACAATCAAATTGCCATAGCACCAGATGATCAGGAAAAGACTACTTTCACATGTCCATATGGAACTTTTGTTTTAGGAGAATGCCTTTTGGACTTTGTAATGCCCTTGCCACTTTCCAAAGGTGTATGATGTCTATTTTCTTAGATATGTTAGAACACTCCATGGAAATTTTCATGGATGATTTTTCAGTTTATGGGACATCATATGACCTGTGTTTGCAATGAAAAAAGTCTTAAAAGATGTGAAGAAACAGATTTAGTTTTGAACTGGGAAAAATGTCACTTTATGGTAAAAAAAGGCATAGTGTTAGGGCACTTAATTTCCAAAAGAGGCATTGAAGTTGATAAAGCAAAGTTAGAGGTAATTGAGAAGTTACCTGAACCAACAACTGTCAAAGGGATTAGAAGTTTTCTTGGATATGCAGGTTTTTATAGGAGGTTTATAAAAGATTTTTCAAAAATATCAAAACCTCTTTGTTTATTATTACAGCATGACCATGTTTTCAATTTTAACGAAGATTGTAGAAAAGCTTTCAACATTTTAAAAGAAGCATTGGTCACTGCTCCTGTGGTAATAACACCTGATTGGTCCAAACCCTTTGAGATCATGACTGATGCTAGTGATTGGGCAGTTGGTGCAGTTTTGGGTCAAAAGAGAGAAAAGATTTTTCATCCTGTTTATTATGCAAGCAAAACTCTTAATGATGTCAAATCAATTACACCACTACTGAAAAGGAATTATTAGTTGTGGTCTTTGCTTTTGAAAAATTCAGATCATACTTGATGGGAACCAAAGTGATTGTTCATACTAATCATGCTGCCATCAAGTATCTTATTTCTAAAAAAGATGCAAAACCAAGGTTAATAAGGCGGGTCTTGCTTTTGCAAGAGTTTGATTTGAAGCGTTGATAGAAAAGGGGTGGACAATCAAGTGGCCGACCATCTGTCGAGATTAGAGAAACAAGACAAACCAGTGCAAAGTAGTGACATCTGTGAAGTATTTCCTGATGAAAGAATTTTGGTTCTTAATCATACTACTGTGCCTTGGTTTGCTGATCTTGTTAATTATTTAGCTTGTGGGATTATTCCCAAGGAATTCAATAAGTATCAAAGAAAGAAGCTCATCTATGATTCAAATAAATATTTATGGGATGACCCTTTCTTGTTTAAAATTTGTGCAGATCAGGTGATTAGAAGATGCATCCCAAAAGAAGAAGTACCATCAGTTCTACAGCACTGCCATTCAGGACCATGTGGAGGACATTTTGGAGAAAGTAGGACAGCATCCAAGGTTTTRCRATYAGGATTCTACTGGCCTACTTTGCACAATGATGCTCAAAACTTTGTAAAAAGTTGCAATGAGTGTAAGAGGAGTGGAAATATCTCTAGAAGAAATGAAATGCCTTTAAACGGAATTCTAGAAATAGAATTATTTGATGTTTGGGGTATAGACTTTATGGGACCTTTTCCTTTGTCCAATAATTGTGCCTACATATTGGTAGCTGTGGACTATGTGTCCAAGTGGGTGGAAGCCATGGCTTGCCATTCCAATGATGCTAAAACAGTTGTGAAGTTTTTACAAAAGCACATATTCACTAGATTTGGTACACCTCGTGCCTTAATTAGTGATGAAGGCACTCACTTCATAAACAACATGTTAGAAGAAGTCCTTGATAAGTATGACATCAAGCATAAGGTAGCAACTACCTATCATCCTCAGACCAACAGATTAGCTGAATTGTCAAATAGGGAGATAAAAGGGATTTTGACCAAAGTAGTCAAGCCACATAGAAAGGATTGAGCCTCTAAGTTAGATGATGCATTGTGGGCCTATCAGATTGCTTACAAAACCCCTATTGGTATGTCTTCCTATAAATTGGTCTTTGGAAAAGCGTGTCATTTACCTGTGGAATTAGAGCACAAGGCCTATTGGGCCATTAAGGAACTGAACATGAGTTTAGAT